GTCTAAGTAGTGGTTTTGCTTAGAGCACTACAATAATCAGGTCAAATCCCGAGTTTAATGAAAAGGCAGAAGTCACCAGTATGAGGGCTTTATTGTGCAGGTAACCCTAAAGCGCTGTTTCAGCCAGAAGTGGCCACTGGTGAAGCCAGTTCTGAGAGGGTGTGTAGGGTTAGAGAGAGAGACAGAGGTGACAGCTGCTTTCACATGATTGTGAAGCAAGTTCGAGTGGTGTGAGATTGGTTTGTTGCATTACACGAGGGGGTGTCGCGTAGAGAGACCCATGCTGCCTTGGTCGAAGGGGTGGCGTGTTCTGTTGGCCCTTGGGCAACCGCGATTTTTTGGACGCGCGGAGACGTCAACCAAGGGTCTTCAGGTAAGGAAGTCTCAAACAGCTGCGGTCGCATTACGTCAAGGCAGCGAGCATTGAACCGAGAAATTGGACAGCATTGTTGGCTTTCCGCCACAATCCAAACAGGCTGGTCTGTCTTGCTGACTACGTATAATCTTGCGTATCAGACACCTGCATAACATACTACTCATATCTGTCCAACAGCTTTATGGGTGGTAGCAACAGTTATTGAGTTTAATCGGTCCCATGCGTTCTTCAGTATTGTCATTCACGATTCTCCTATCCGCTCAGGCCTGAATACAGACTCAACTGTTATGAAAATGCACACGGAGTTATTTTGGTCTAGTGAAACTGCAGAAGCTCTTACGCTGTCTGCCTAAGTACTTCTTTACATTACCTCCCACAGGATCTAATGAAACTGCGACCACCGGGTTGCGTAGGCCTCTTCGAACCGGAGAACTTCTCCTTGACTCTGCAGAGCCTAAATAACCACTACGAGGAGTACATTATTGGAACCGGCGACTTTGATGAACGCATCTACCTGAGTCCCAACGCTGCCGAGGAGATCGGTTCTACTGGCGAGCAACCGTACTCTGAAAGCCTACCCGTCATGTCAGCCACACGGGGCTGTCTGGTGGTGAGTTTTACAGGACTGTTTTACTTCCCCTCCTCCCTCACTGCCCATGCGGTTTTATTTCTCCTTCTCACTTTTGACTCTTCAGGAGCTGCGACCACATACTTGCTGGCTCTCCTTCATCCGACATTGTGCAGTTACACTTTTTTCTGGCTAACATTTGCATAACAGCAAGTGTCTGTCTGTATGACTGATCGCTCTGATTTCCCAGCAGAAATACCAGTCCTACACTCCTTGCATGAGAATATTTTCCACACGACAGTCCGATCGTCGTATCCCACGGGGTCTATCGCATGCTCCACAGCAAAGGGGCGTAGAGACGGTGACTTGCGCGCGAATTAGCTTATTGTAAAAGTGGACTTGCGTTGCATCTACTGCACTCTTTCCTCCCAACTTGCCTCAGTGTTATGACCAAATTATACATACCAGGGGCGGCGGATGGGGCTGGCACGACCGCGGCTGACCCTAAGCGTGCCGCCACACCTGATTTGGATTCTGTGAAGTGGGAGTGCTATAAAGGCCACATTAAGAAGGAGCCATTGTAGTCTGACTCTCAGTCCGCCAATGAGCTACTACACACAGACACACACAATGGACTGATTGCAATGTCAAAAATTATTCCGTCAGTTGGCGACCTCCCAAGCCACGGCGCGTAGCGCGCCGTAACAGTATCAGCCTCAGATCACACATGCACGTCTGATGATGATGATGATGAT